TTCTGGTATTCTCTGCTTTCAGCTAAGATCCATCTAACATCGGCTACAATATCCCTAGTACTACGACCCCTTCTAAACCCAGCCTGGACTTCTGGCAGTTCTCTGCTGATGTACTGTTCCAGTCGTTTTTAGATAATCCTCAGTAGAATCTTGCTTGCATGGAGAAATAATAATATAAAATAAACCCTCCTCATCCAGAATAAACCAATTGAGGCACCTGTTTAAAGACAGTGAAAATACTAATTTTTATCTACTTCATTTAGGGAGCTCTTGTTATCTAGTATGCAAGGAATTCCACTGCCAAACTGAAGGCTGATGGTACAACCCTAAGGCAAATGGGCAGTTTCTTCGAGTGTAGTTTACAGCCTCAAAACCCCCTGGAAGGGCAGTGCTGAATCAGTTTTGACCAGACAACAGTGAATTAATTTATTGAGCTAAAATGTAATAGCAATAAACTTGCATCCTTTTAAAACAACATTTGATAAGTTTTAACAGAAATATATACTTTTTAATTTTCAAAGGAAAATTATAAATCATTTATCTGCCTTTTATAAAGGACACTTTTTCATTAAATTTATAGATATTGAGCTGGGAAGTTTCCAAGTAATTTTTCTCATTTCTAAAACAACTAGTTTTACTATGCATAATAGGCTTCAGTGAGTATAGAGTATGTAGTTTCTGCTTTCTTTGCTGTGATCAGTATATTAAAAGTTTGCTTTGAAACATACATAATAGAAAAATTAGTAAACCTTGGTTTTTATTTTAACCAACAGGAAGAAGAAGATAAAAAAGCTGAGAAGATTGATTTTCATCAATTAGGAGAAGAATTCTGTCGCTGGTATTTTGCGCTGCTTAATTCTCAGAATCCTTTACTGGGACCACCTCAAGATGAATGGGGACCACAGCACTTCTGGCATGATGTCAAGCTTAGGCTTTATTATAATACGTCCGAACAAAATGTAATAGAATACCATGGAGCAGAAATTGTGAGCCTTCGTTTGCTATCGTTCGTGAAAGAAGAATTTCTTTTTCTCAGCCCTAATCTAGATTCCCATGGACTCAAGTGTGCATCTTCTCCTCATGGGCTAGTTATGGTTGGTGTCGCTGGGACGGTCCACCGAAGGCACACTTGTTTGGGCATTTTTGAACAAATTTTTGGACTTATCCGCTGCCCTTTTGTGGAAAATAATTGGAAGATCAAATATATCAACCTGAAAATTATTGGAGAGAATTCTCTTGCTCCTGGAAAATTACATACACCAACAATTAGGTTTGAGCCAAGTGATCTAGAGGCCTTTTATGATATAATGACTGTAGGTGGTACTGGTCAAGCACAACTTAGTGAAGATCAGACAATGGAAAATGGACCAGGAGACCAAGCTTTATGTACTGGAAATGAAGTAGTATTGAACAAAAGAGAACCGAGTTTACCTCTATAGTCCTGAGCACCATCGGTCATCATTAAAATCTATACAGAAACTCTGAAATAATCTGTCCAATGTCTAATTAATTTCAAGTATAATGATTGATAACTTTTAGTTAAAATACCTTTCTTGACTGAAAATTGACATGTTAATTATTGCCTCTTTACATCAAGTATTCACTTTTTAACATGAGTTTCAGCAGATGTACTTGAGAGTTTTATGAAGTTTATAAAATAAATCTCTCTTTTGTTATTATTACTAATGGTGTGCCTTAGAAGCCAGGTTATACTTTGATTTTCCTTAATGAGTATTCTAATACCTTTTTTGCTTTTTATGTGTGAAAAGATTAATACTGTTCAGAACTTCACAAGTTTCTTGTATACTTTGATCTAAATTTAAATACCTAAATCTAGAGTAGGTATTTTATAAGTACATTTTACTACTGTAATATTTTTGAAAAATTAAGTATTTCAGAGATGTTTAATTTAAACTTGATGTTCTGATTCTGGGAAACTTGAAGACAATAACTTTTAATGCAAAAAAAAAAATTTCATACATGTGGGGAAAAACTTGTTAAATATTTTTCAAAGTTACTTGCTATTGTTGTTAGGTGCTGTAGAGTCGAGTACAACACATAGCTAACGTATGAACAACAGATCTGAACCTCGTCCTATGGTGAGCCATTCTCCTACCTCCTGACACATTAGAGCCCATTGGAGCAGTCACTGTGTCAGTCCATCTGGTTGAAGGTCTTCCTCTTGTGTGCTAATCATCCACCTTTCCAAGCGTGATTTCCTTCTCCAAGGAGTATCCTCTCCTAGCAGTATGCTAGAGTATGCAAGATGAAGCTTTATCATCTTTGCCTTCAAGGAGCACTCTGGCTGCACTTTCTCCAAGACATAATTGATTGTTCTTTTGGCAGTCCATGGGATGTTCAGTATGCTTCACCAACACCACAGCTCAAAGGCACCAATTCTGTTATTTTTATTCTTTGTCCAGCTCTCAGATGCATAGCAAGTGACTGGAAAGGTCTTGGCCTGAATCAGACGCACCTTAGTTCTCAAACTGACATTATTGCTTTTCAAGGATTTGGAGAAACCTAGCTTTGGTGGCCTGATGATAAGGAGTTGCAATGCCAACCCAAAGGCCGGCAGTTCGAATCCACCAACTACTCCAAAGGAGAAATATAGATTGACAGTCTCTTCCCATGTAATTTACAGCTACTGAAAAACTGCTGGAGAGTCAGCTGTGAGTTGGTTCTGGCTTGACAGCACGTAACAACTTGAAATCTGAGTTACTGATGCAAATGATTAAACTGTCAATTGGAAACAGTATTGACTATACTTGAACTGCGAAAAAAATAACTCTTGGAAGAAGAGCAGCTAGGGTGTTCCTTAGAGGCAAGGAAGGTGAATCATTGTCTGGCATAATTTGGACATGTTATCTGGAAGGACTAGTCCTTGGAAAAACATCATGATGTGAAAGGTGAGTGAGAGAAAATGACCCTCAAAAAGAGGTAGATTATCACAGTGGCTGTGACAATGGGCTTTAACCTGAGGGCATGAGAGTGATGTCGGCTCAGGCAACATTCACATCTGCTGTTCATAGGGTCACTATGGGTCACAGTCACCTCAGTAACACCGGATAATAAGAGACATCTTAATATTTGTTTCTCAAAGCTCACAGTGTTGAAATTGGGACTTTGTATTAATATGGTCCTATTCATAGACTTTGTTTTCTGCTTAGCTGATAATTTTGTCTATTTTGGTACTGCATAGTCTTAATCATCACATCTTTATAGTAAAATCTGGGAGTCACATAAAAAAAGCTTTCTGTCATTAATTTAAAAAAAAGTCCCTGGCTGCAGACTTTCCTAGTACAATGTGCCTCTTGATTTCCTCACTGCTGGATCTAAGTTAGATTGACAACTGTTCTACGTCTGCCATGAAATTGCCTATCAGTCTAGCAGAAAGAATTTTCTTGACATTGAGAATTAATCAATATTGAAGTCTCTGTTCTTTGATCTTCTACAACAAGTGCTTCAAGTTAGTTGTCTTCACTTTCAGCAAGCAAAGTTGTGTTATCTGCATATTGCAGGTTACTGACGAGTCTTCCTCCAATCTTGATGCCATATTCTTAGATTCTAGCTTCTTGAATAATTCGTTCAACATGCAGATTCAACAGGTGTGGAGACAGGATGCAACCTTGAAGCACTCCTTTCTTAATTTTAAGCCATGTGGTGTTGCTTTGCTCTGATTGCACAACAGCCTAGGCAACAATCTAGGTATAGGTTTCACATGGATGCAGGTAAATGTTCTGGCATTCTCATTCTTCTCAAGCTTAGTCATAACTACTTATGATCCACACAGATGCCTTTGCATAGTCTATAAATCATAAATTGACATTCTTCTATTATTCTTTCAGCCAGGATCCATTTAACATCAACAGTGATAGCCCTGGTGCCCCATCCTATTATAAATCTTGGCTGAACTTCTGGTGGTACCCTATCTATGTATTGCACTAGCTGTTTTTTTTTGTTTGTTTTGGGGTTGCTGTTGTGTTGTTGTTTTTTTTTTGTTTGGGGTTTTTTTGACGTCTAACACTTTTTAAAAAAATTATTTCATATTGATTTACTTTCAAAGTTTGTATACACTTTTTCACACTGGATCTTTCACATTTCCTTTTCTCACCCCTCTACCATCAAATTGTGTGGCCCTATGATTACCAGCCACAGCATCCTCACCTCTCTGCTCTCACCCTCCCCCCCCTTGGATACATGTTCTGCAGTAATGGTCTTGCATGGTATTTGTTCTTAGAGGACTGACTTAGTTCACTTAGCATACTACTCTCCAGTCCTTCCCAAGTTAGGTAGTGATTTTCAAAATCATTGCTCCTGCATGCTGTCTAGTATTCCATGTGAATGTACCATAATTTCTTAATCTATTTGTATGTGGTTGGACATTTGGGCTGTTCCCATGTTCATATGATGGTGAATAATGCTGCTATGAACATTAGTGTACAAGTCTAGGTTTGTGCCTCAGTTCTCATTTTCTCAGGGTATATTCCAAGCAAGGGAATAGATGGGTCATGGAATTTCTATGTTCACCTTTTTTGAGGAAATGCTAAACTGCCTTCTAGAGTGGTTGTACCATTTTACAATGTCACCAACAATATATAAGTTCCTATCCACATCTTCTCCAACATTTATTTATTTATTATTATTTAGCTGCCGTGCTAAACTTTGCCACTGCTACTTTAGATGGTATGTCATTGTGGTTTTTATTTGCATCTCTTAGTGCCAGTGATTTTGAACATTTCTTCATGAGTCTGTGACCATGCAAATATCTTCCTCTGAAAATTTTTTCCATGTCTTTTGCCCATTTTTGAATTATGTGATTAGTCCTTTTCTTGTGGAGGTTCTGTAGCATTCTGTAAAGTTTTGATATGAGACCCATGTCTGAAATGGTATTGTCAAATGTTTTTCCCCCAGTCAGTAAGTTGTCTTTTCACTGTTTGAAAAGGGCTTTTTTACATGCAGATATTTAATCTTTAGACGGTCCCATTCATCCGTTTTATCCTCCAGATTGTGCATTTCTGGCTGTACTTGACAGTCTCTTAATACCATAGACTAGGCCTTCTCACCTTGATTCCAGTTTGTCTCTAATGAGCTTTATGGTGTTGGGCCTAACTCCCAGGTCTCTGATCCACCTTGAGTTTATTTTTGTGTATAGTGTGAGATGTGGATCCTTTTTCATCTTTTTGCAGGTAGCAAACAGTCAAGATTTAACAGCACCATTTGTTGAAGAGGCTGTCATTTCCCCATTTGATAGGTTTTATTTCCTTGTCAAATATCAGTTGACCATAGATAGATGGGTCCATTTCTGCGTTCTTAACTCTGTTCCATGGGTTTGTGTGCCTCTCATTGTATCAGTACTATACGTTTTTGGTTACTGCCACAGTGTAGTAGGTTTTGAGGTCAGGGAGTTTCTCAGAGGTGCTTTGCTTATTCAGGGTATCTTTTTTTTCCTCTCAAAATAAACATGACAATTTCCCTTTCAATCTCCTTGAAAAATGAATTTGGTGTCTGTATTGGAATTGCATTGAACATGTAGATTGCTTTTGGTAGGATTGTCATTTTCACAACTTTGAGTCTTATCCATGAACAGGGCACATTTTTCCTTTTGAATGATCTTCAGTGTTTTGCTTGCATGTGATATTAATGATATTGGTTGATAGTTGTCACATTCTGTTCTATCACCTTTCTTTTGGGAATGGGAACAAATATGAATAAAAAAGGTCCACCTTCTGGGTGACAGTTGCTTTAAATAAGAGGCTTCCAGCCACCAAATAACTGTTCATCAAAAAGGCTTGCCTTACAGGTCCAACCTGTTACAGTGCAGCCTAAATATCTTTTATAATGCATAACATTTTCTGGATGATGTTAAAGGTACATGTTATTTCCAAAACTGCCTTACTCATGCCTAGTCTTCAGTGAACAGTATATTATAGAGCATTTATAAGCACTTTGTTAAAAAAAAATTTCCTGTTGAAATTTTTTAAAAAGGTGTTCCTGCTTTCTGCATTTTAACTACTGTTCTTAGTTAATCTTAGAAAAGTTGATGAAACCACAAATGTATAACATGCATACATTTATATATGCATGTGTACATCTATATGATAATTTAGAATAATTTGGAATTTTTAACTTCTAGTTTTACTTTTTCGGTTAAATGGTTGAGTTGCCAGCTGAATCATAACTGCTTTAAAATGAAAAGTCATATCACCAAGTTACTATATTTAGTTGGTAATTTCATTTACAGAAGTACCCTTTTTACAAAAGACTCAATTGAAAAATTATGTTAAATGGTAACTTTTATACTGCTCACAAACATCTAGGGTACGTACATTAATACAGGTTAGAAGCAGAGGAAAAGTCATCCTGCTTTAAAAAAAAAAAATCCTTGCCTCTTCTGAGGAGTGCAAGTTGGTAAGACTAAAAGGAAAGCCTAACGAAA